GCTCATCCCAGGTTAAAATCAGAAGCAAAGCCGGGCACCAGTAGCTCACACCTGTAATCCTAGCTACTCAGGAGATGAGATCTAAGGAGCATGGTTTAAAGCCAGCCCGGCAGAAAAGCCCCTGTGAGACTCTTGTTAGGAAAATGGAGGAGAAAGAAAGGAGACAGGCCTGACTCAATCTTCTATAGGCCAGGACTGTTTATGGAGATAGAGCAGCAAGGGCCACAGCCTTGCTGAGGGCTCGGAGACTGGGCGGAGCTGGGGCAGGGGCTGGGTGTCCATGGGGTCTTAGCAAGGAGACGGGTTACACGAGTTTCGTTTGGGAGCGGAGTGACTGCAGGTGCAGCAGAGAACGGGGTGAGTATTCCCTAATCCAAGGTCACAAGCTTTTCAGTGTTCAGACAGCTCTCCTCTGTCTGTGCAGGTCACACCTGGCCGGGGCCACCACTGGAGGTTTACAGCCAGGCCCAGGCTGCGCCTGTCTTTGGTGGCTTGTCCGGTACCTGTACGCACCTGGGAAAACAGGGTCCGGGGCCATCCTTCACTTATGTCCAATAAACTAATCAGAAAAAGCCAGAGGCGGCGCCTTGGCTCAAGTGGTAGAAGGTTAGCCCCGAGCACAGAGGCTCAAGGACACTGCCCAGGCGCTGAGCAGAGCCTCATCACAGGCCAAGAAAACGCTCAGGGATAGCACATGGGCCCTGAGTTCAAGTCCCGTGACCCACAAAACACAAGCAAGAGCAAATCCAAACATGGCACAGCCGTGCCCTTCTCTGAAGGGCCTCACAGGACGCTGGCAGCCAAGCGTTGAAGCTGAAGCAGGGGGGGTTGTGGCCTGTATGTCAGCCCTCCCCAGCCCCCTTCCCCACATTCTCCCTCCCGCCCTCCATCTGCTCCACACCCCATGTTTGGTTATGTTAAGTCATGACTAAGCCTGGAACCTTCCAGCCCGCCCTCTGACGTGTCTTTCTGGGAAGGTGGCAGGGCACTTGGTGCCCCTTGATCTCCAGGCCACTGTGCTGATGGTGGAGCAATCACAAGTGACCTGTGAGCTTCAGGGCACCAGAATTCTCTGAAGCAAAGGGGACGGGCAGGGGTGGGGCAGACTGGCCCTGCCCCCAGCAAGCTCAGCCCAGGCGTGCCCTCAGTGTGCCCACAGCGGCTGCCCGCCCAGCTCCAACCCAACCCTGGCCAATGGCCCCAAGCTCTGAAGCAGTGATCTGTGGGTAAAAGGGATTGTAGGTGGTCCAGTGACTCACTGTCCTTCTTGAACATTCCAGCAGTTCATCAAGGCTTTCTGGGTCAGGCAGCTTCAGGTTTTAGGAGCCACTTGATACCCATGTCCTGAGTCCAAATGGGGCCCAGAGCCTGGAGTCATATGAGCACATAGCCGCCCAGCTTCCTTGTGGGGGCGGGACTGCCACGCCGCGTCCCTGGCTCTCACCAGTGTCCCTAGATATTGCAGCCCCAAAGGACGTAAAGTTGAGCAGCTTGATCTTTTTTAGCTTCTACTATGGTGCTAACCTCTGCACAGTCCCCTCTGGTTCCTTGTGTCTTCTCCACCCCTGCCCCTCCTCTTTCCTCTCTCCCTCCCTGGGTCTAAAATCAGAGTTGTTTTCCCTCCCTGGGTCTAAAATCAGAGTTGTTTATCTCAGAACCTTCTGGACTCTGGAAAAAGTTGAGGTCACCAGGCTCGTGACTCAGCTGCTAAACAACACAGATCATAAGACTGAAATGAGGCACCCGCCAAAATCAGGCAACCAGGCGTGGCTGCAGGCCAGCTCCCCTCCCCCGCGGGCCAGCCAGTCACCCGCCACCTCACTCAGCTTTGGGCTCCTTTGCAAACGTGGCCTGACATTTAGAAATAACCTTCACTGAAGGCAGTAGCAGGAATCATGAGTGTCTCTGACTGATCCTGGAAAAATACATTTTAATGCCCCAGTAACAGAGTCAAAGCCGAACCACAGCAGCTCCAGGCTTACACTTTGCCTAAAGGGACTCCAGTTAGCACAGGAAATAAGCAACACCAGGGATGGGGTGGGACGGCTTAGGAACAGGGGATAAAGGCTGTGCTCACCCAGGCTGGAATGAAGGTGAAATTCAAGTTTTCACACAAATACACAAAACTAAGAGCTTAAGGCCAGTGCATCTACACATAAAAGTGGGCTGATGGCTCACACCTGTAATCCCAGCTACTGAGAATTGTGGTTCAAAGCCAGCCTGGACAGGAAAGCCTGGGAGACTCATACCCAATAAACTCCTCAAAAAGCTGGAAGTGGAGCTGTGGCTCAAGTGGTAGTACACCTTGAGCCACAGCAGCTTAGAAACAGCAACCAGGCCCTGGGCTCAAGCCCAAAAAAGAAAGCAGCAGAGAAGAAAAAAGGCTTTTGGAATTTAGGTGAAAAGGAGGTCCAGAGACAATAGCACCTTTAAAGACATGAACAGTTGTGTTATTTTGATCTCTTTACAAGATAATCCAGTTTAAAACAAAAATAGAGCTATTCTGCCATTTATTAAGACATGGGAAGAAAAATCAGGAAAAGAGATGAAAATGTATCATTGTCTTCTATATGTAAAGTGGTATAATATCAAAGATGATTTCTATTATAAAATATACAGTTTTGCTGGGTGCTGGTGGACACCTGTAATCCTAACTACTCAGGAGGCTGAGATCTGAGGATCATGGTTCAAAGCCAGGTCGGGCAGGAAAGTCCATGAGACTTTTTTTATTTTGGGTCCGGTCGTGGGGCCTGAACTCTGGCCTGGGCGCTGTCCCTCAGCTCTTCAGCTCAAGGCTAGTGCTCTACCACTTGAGTCACAGCACCACTTCCGGCTTTCTTCTTTTTGCTTATGTGGTACTGAGCAATTGAACCAAGGGCCTCAGGCACGCAAGGCAAGCGCTCTACCACGGAGCCATCTTCCCAGCCCCGTCCATGAGACTCTTATCTCCAATAAACCACTCAAAAACTAGAAGTGGGGCTGTGGCTCAAGTGGTAGAGTGCTCATCTGGAGCTGAAGAGTGCAGGGACAGCACTCAAGCCCAGAGTTCAAGCCCCACTACTGACCAAAAAAAACAACAACATAGTTTTGACTCCCATTTTTTTCATCCATGCAAGGCAAGCACTCTACCACTGAGCTACCTTCCCAGCCCCATATTTCTTTGAAAGCTTTAAGAGTAGAAGTTCAAACACCTGTGGACTTCTAGATATCTGAAATGGTTCTGGAAGAGTCCAGAAGGAACCATGGGTGGGGAGGGCTGACTGCAAACCCTTAGAAGTGTTTTAAATCCCACTGCAGTTCCTCTAGGGTTCACAGTACAACTGTGGTAAAAAATATTGTTGATTTCCCCGTTCCTCTCCCTGCTTGTATCAAAGTACAGTTTGTCTATAGGATTCCATTTTGTACGTTGGCAAGTTCTTCCAGAAATGGGAGAGGTTCCCTTCCTGTCTTTCAAATCTCAGGCCTTACATTTCAAACAAGTGTTTGAAGTCACAGATGTGGATGGGATTTGGACGCTGGCCAGATCACAAGAGCACGCGGTACACAGGTGTTTCTGTGTTTGTTTTCTTCGGGTCTCCCTCTGGGGCTAGGGCTCGGTGGGCGACGACCCTTGCCCCTTCTACCCGACCAAAACGGTCTCCGGCTCAGCGAGCTCAGTGTACACGTCCAGGTCTCCGGGGTGACACCCAAGGCCCCAGCCCGGCCGGGCTTCCTTCCCTTCGGCGCCGGGGGTCGCCGCAGGCCCCGGGCCTAGGCGGATCCCCAGGCCCCACTCCGGGGCGCCCGACCGCGTCCGGTCCCCCAGGTGCCCCAGTCCCGGCCCCGCA